CCAATTTTTGGAGTATTTTGAGGGAGGATTATGAAACAATTATCGATTTTATAACCACGCTGGTTCATGTAAAACATTTCTAACATTAATAGGCATAATTATAAAACATCTAAACATTAATAAAAGTTGGAATAGTAAAAGTAATAGACTTTGAAAAGGTAGATGTTTAAATAACGAGAATATCCAATGGAACATCCATTGTTGAAAGATTATGTCTATCCATTAACTATTAAATCTAGCGCCCGGACACCAAACGCTGTTGTGTAATATAAATATTACCATATTTTACACTTGTAGTCTCGCATACAAAATAATTTATTATCATTTGAACAATTTCCACATTTGCCCGTCGCTACAAATGAATTAAAATTATATTTTACTATCTACTGTCTAAGTGTCATATATCAAAGCATTATTTTCAGATAAGACAAATTACAGCATTGCATGAGGTAGGCGAATCCATCAACCGAAACGGATTGGACTACACAACATTGTAAACTGATTGAATTACTTTCTTCAGCGTTACTGATGCGCGTGCCGAAAGATCAGACTAATCTTACATATAACCCAATAAAACATGTATAATCTTTATTTATATACAGAAATTCACAAAATTTTCTAAATTGTTTAGTCTTAATTACTCATAGCTATTAAAATACCCATTATTATATCTATCTATACTATTGTAAAAAAGAGATTGTGCCTTTCTGTCTGTCCGTATGTCTGCCTGTATGTGAGTTTGTATGAGCTAAACTCAAAAACTACTGAAGCAATTGGGCTCAAATTAGAAAAAAATAAAGCAACAGCTCCAAGAATACACATAGATCTATTCCCGCTTCGATATTGAACTGGGACTCTGTCCCGTCTAACACTAGGCGCGTAGTCTAATAGCTGGACTTGAGCTCCCAAACCGCCTATAAATGTTTAAATATGAACGATAATCAACTGTAAAATGCACACGATTTCACAATGCCACACAGTTTATTTAAACAAATTCAATACTGAAATAATATTAATTCATATATAATAAGTTATTGATGAAATACGTTAGATTCTATAACCATTACCGTATCAACATTGGCTGTTATATAAGTTTTATGGCAATTATTTTTTTATTTCGTGGAATCAGGAATAGCGAATTTCCATTTGCCTGGTTATATTTTTACTAAAATGTCTAGTATAAATGTTAGAAAATTACACTATGGACAGGTTTGGAACAATTAATTGTGATTGCTTATCGTTTACAGTACAAACTACTTAACATGTTAATTCATTATACCAAAGTCTGTCATTGATTTTGGATACTGCACAGTCCAATTTCGTTTCTGAATTAAATGGTGAGATTGAAACCATTTTTAAGGCATTTTCAAAGAACCAACTTTGCCTATTTTGCATACTGGCCCCGTTGCAAGACACAAGTATAGCGGCTAGTTATTTATAAAATATGGCTCGTACTTAAATTATTCATTAGCTAACATCCATCGTTTTGTGATAAGAATTCAATTCAGGTAAAAATTATCTTATCATTTTTAAAACTCGAATGGGTTACATCAAAATATAAAGTTTAACCATGTTTAACGTAGGTACCAGATGAAGATTACATAATTTAGTTATTGTAAAAGTTTTAATTTCTGTTAAATGGCATTTATGGAATTCTTTTGGTGCGCAGTTGTTGAAGTAACTTCTTCATTTAACTACTTATTGTGATTTTCACAAATAACTAATTAGGTTAACTGTATTAAGGAAACTGCCCTTTTACTGTCCAAACAACCATAAGACTAAGGTAAACCTCGGTAATCAGAACTTTCCCAAACTAGTTAACCTATTTCAGGTGTATGACGTCATCGCCTCCCATGACTGTAAAATAACTTTTAAATTGTGATTTTTCGGGCTAAACACTACGCACTCATCCCGATAATTATTTCAGGAACAAACCCATCCTCGGGTCAACTCAGCCCGAAAATCATAGGGTCACCGCATAACCCTATTGAAAATGTAAACTTTACCACTAAGAAAACTAGGTTTCGCTGCCGGAAACCCTGGGAAAATGCCTGAGGTTTGTTTACCAGGAATTTTGCCCCCCCCCCTCAGCAGATGAACAATTGTATGATTAAATATTTACAAAGATTTACTTTGTATTCATACCAGTAAAGGTGAGTACGAAAGCTATCTTAAGAATCTTTTCTAAGGTAAAAAAATACAATAATCTAGAAATCATACAATTACTAAAATAAAATAAAAACATTTTATACAGGCATTTACTTGATTAACTTGCTGTTAAAAACAAATTATAAACATATATTGAGCATTATTTTGCATGACTTGATTTCCCATACAAGTTTTAGCCTTACGGAACCGAAGATTAAGTTTGTCTTAAAATTGTAAACTAACTTTTCTTTGAAGTTGATGGAACTAAATCCTTAGCAAACGCCTTTGCTTACTTCTCCATGTATAATACTCTTCATCCTGGCTTACACCAAATATGTTAATATAACAGCCCAGAAAGCTTACATATAATAAGTCTATTTAATACTATTTACTATTTTTATACAGGGTGGTAATAAAGTCCAAAGACAGTTAAATATTTAAAAAAATAATGTAGATAGAGCTACAATACTTTGGACAAAGTAACAGGGCATAAAAGTCTATTTTAACACATATTCAGTGATCCAATAACTATTCAGGGGGACGGCCCACAAGGAGTCAGAAGAAACTCTTAAATGGAAGCATAGGTCGATATGCACATCAAATTAAAGGTCTTTATTAGTAGAATACAATGCCGCAAACCCGACCTTAAACAGACAACCGAGTCAAAAATGGCAGCACTTCAAAGCTTCCTTGAATTTGCTTTAGTTAAATTAATTATTATTAAGTTATTATCCCGGGCAATTTCATAATTCCATGACAGGAAAACTAAGAGTCACTACTCGTCTTTGCTATTGGCATAATCTAGGGATAAAATGGATTATTTAATTAGAATTATTAAATCAGTACTTACAGAAGAAATCCTTTTCACAATAAATGCTCGAAGTGCCCTCCCTCTGTTGTTTGGCAGTGAGACAATCGGTGATAGAAGGCGTATATCGCGTTTTGTGGTCTTGTGCTATTATTTTTGATAAATCGACTTTCTTCCAAGATCCTGTTCCTCAATTCCTCCAAGTTCTGTGGGTTTGTTTTGTAGACCATGTCTTTAAGTCAGCCCCCCAAAAAAAAGAAGCCCAAAGGGGTTAAGTCTGGCGAACGAGCTGGCCATTCAATCGTACCTCTCCTTCCGATCCATCTTTGAGGGAACATAACTGTGGGAAAATAAAAGAGAAAATAAAACTCTTCAGAGCTTTCTTTAACTTACTTATATTTTACACATCGAAAATCACAACTAAAAAACGAACCTTCTTTTTCACCTTTTAAAGATAACTAGCTGAACCCGGCAGACGTTGTCTTGCCTTTGACTATTTATAATTTAAGTACCGTAACGTTTAATTGTCTTATTGTATATGAAGTGCTTATAACTAAATTAAAATACGTACGACAACAACCGATTCTTTATTATTGCTCTTATATTAATGCTAGTGGGTAGACAATATTTTTGGTCTTTCTATTCGGTATGTAAATGTGTAAATTTCTTGGCGATCCCACTCTCGAGCAGGCAACGTAGAGCTGGCCGTGAGAAAAGCACGGGTTTGTTAAGTTGATTGCAGCAACGCGCAGTGATTGCCCTTGTGCTTTGTTGACAAGCGCACTGAAAATTGGAGGCGTTTGAAATTAAATAGCAAATCAGTTGGAATCATGGGGATTCTTGGAATCATAACTATTTCCCCCTTGTATTTGCCACTTAATATTGATGCCTGAATCAAATTTGGCAATAGTTTTTTAATGGCCAGTCTTGTTCCGTTGCATAATTTTGGAGTGTTTAAATTTCTTAAAAGCAATATTGGTGAGCCAACTTTCAAGGTCAAAATGTGTGGTGGCATTCCTGGAGGTTCTAAAGAATTGAGGAATTCAACAGGATAGTTGACTGCTTCATTTTCGTCTACATTGGTGTCAATCGATTTATATTCCATTACGGCTCCAGGGATCTTCAACTGGATCTTGGTATTAATTTTATTCACATCTTCATTCTTCGCTCTCTCATGAAGCCAATCGTGGTTTCTAAAGTTGGTCGCTATGTTTGGAAATAATTATTTTCTAAGTCTTCGATTGACGTTTGTAGCTGAGTAAAGTTTGATGGGAATTCAATTTCTCTGGTAAGTGGATCTACTGGAAGTTTCCCGTCACCCATATCCAAGAGCTGCTTTGCAAATGGTCCTGCAGAAATGTCTTTGAGTAAGTGCACTCACATGTTAGTCGATAGTGTGATTTTTTTAACATGCCTCCATAATATTGAATTCTTTAGGCAGGCGTTTAGCTCGTCCGCTGGCGTGGATCTTGGAATTACAGGCAATGTCTGTCGGAAATCGCCAGCGAGAAGTATTAAAGCTCCACCCATTGGCCGTTGATCATTTCGAAAGTCTCGGAGGGTGTGGTCCAGGGCCTCTAGCCCTTTTTTATGCATCATGGTGCATTCATCCCAAATGATGATATGGCATCTTGTCAACAAAGTTGCCATTCCAGATTGTTTGCCTATGTTGCACAACGAATCTCCTCGGTTTAAATTTAATGGCAGCTTAAAAGCAGAATGTGCTGTGCGACCTCCATCAAGCAACGTGGCTGCAATCCCAGATGATTCAACAGCCAGAGCAATGTTATTGTTCATTCGGATCTCGGCAAAAAACAAATTTAACAAAAATGTTTTGCCTGTCCCGCCTGGTGCATCGAGGAAAAGAAGACCGCCATTTCCTACTCGTATTAGCTGCATCACTGTATCGTATGCAAGTTGCTGGTCGTCTGTCAATTTGAGTTTTTTGAGTTTCAACATATGTTTTGAGCGCATTAACCTCATATTGCGTTTCCCGCAACAACTCTTTGGCGAGAATATCATTCCTGTTTCTTACTGGCGAAAATTACCCAAGTTCATTGAGGACCTTGTTATTGATAGTAATACATATGTCTTCAAGCGACATTAGTGCTTCGTTGAAAATGTTTTCAGTATATTGCACTTCTTGGCCAGGATTTTCTCTGCGAGTTCGAAGAAGAAAGTCTTCACTCATGCTTTCTTTGTGTCTTTCCCAAAGATTTTGTAGATTTGAAGGGGCGAAAGTAGTTAAAATGATGGCAAATAGAGTACGAATCTGGTAGGCATGACGTGTTTCAGATGCTTCGGCCAGTGTGTTGCCCCAGTGTGAATCATTTTCAAGCAAGCCAAGTTTGGAAAATGCTTCTATGTATGTTTGACAGACTTGTCTTTCAACAGTTTTGAGTTCTTGAAAGGAGGTTGGTCCTCTAACTACATGGAGCAGCATTCTCGGGTAGTAGCAATCGCCATTACTTCGATGTACCGTGTACACACGTCCCAGTGTGCCAGTAGAGAATATGCCATCTACTGATGGATGACGGGCACCTCGTTTTCTTTTGCAAAACTTTTTAGTCCTGGGATCCCAAGTGTAGTAGTGCGGAACCTCGTGATACAACAAAGTCTTTGCGAACTCGTCATTTGCGCATAGTTCAAAAAAAGCGGTTAAAGAGGTGTTGGGTGGAACTGCAGCTCTCTGAACAGCATTCTCTTCAGTAAAATACACTCTTTGGCCGTTTTCCAAATGCACGCTAAGGTGCATCACAGCAGGAAATCGTTCATGGATGTCGAATCCAAGAATTCGCCAAACCGCTTCGTTACTACTGATGTACCGTCCCATTTGAAATTGTTCAATTTCATTCACTGGTGCCCTGGCATCTTCAAGTCCAAAAACTGCCATATCGCTGCCTTTGTTTACATATTTGCATATGGATGGATATATGCATAATGGATTTCACTGAATTACAGTATCCTACGTTGATATGTGCATTGAATGACTTCGAAAGAATGGGAGAGTATGGCACAATCCACCGATTATCGATTTCGAAATCCACGTTATTAATTTTGATTGTTGTCGTGCATCCTCCTTCTTCTGGGTTTCTTCTTCTGTACTGTGGATAACCATCTCCGCCGGTTTGAGTCTCTTTGAGCATTACACGTGGGTAGTTTTTAGAACATCTTTTAAATAAATCTTTTATTTCAGTCCAAGAGGGATTGCACGTGAAAGTTATGAAAAGGTCAAATAAAAAAAAAAAATAAAAATCTCTTTATTCCTGAATTAATGTGTTACAAGTTTGTTAAAAATTGTGTGTACAGGAAAAATAATTCCCAAGTAGACTATCCGTCTGTGTTTGGGAATGAGTTGCTAATACAGCTATACACAGGTCCATAAACATTCAGGAGTACTTAGACACTTTATCATGATAGTAAATAAAAATAAAATATTAACAAGATCAAGAGAGAAAAAAAACCTAATTGCATCGAAACAGTGATTTGGTGACGCATTAAACTGCAGAAATTTACGAGTACAACGATTTGAGTAATCCTTCTGATTGCTCCCTGTCGATATTTAAAAGCCAGCTCATGACTCTACGCTTAAACACAGCGACGCTGTCACTCTCCACCTCTCGAATATGTGAAGGCAAGTTTCTATACAATGTATGACAAACGTAATGAGGTATAGTTTTAAGGGTTGAATGGGAGAGTCTGGGAAAGGAAAAGCCGAATTTAATGTTACTTCTAGTCAAATAACGATGTTGAACAGGAGAAAAAACTGAACATTTATTAAGTTTTATGAAAATAAGAAGATTTTTTATGAACAATTGTCGGATGTCTAAAACTGGAAAGTCGCAAAACAGTTGCAAGGAAGGAAATCTAGAGTTTTTTTTTTTTTAAATAGTTTTGATAACAGATCGTTGAACGACAGAAAGTAGTTCCAGAACAGTAGGAAGGGCACCACCCCAAGCCAGGATACCATACTGCAACACCGACTGTACGTAGGCAAAGTACACGGTCCGCAACTGCTGCCCCGAAAGCACCTCCCGAAGCTGCGTGAATGCGTAAATGAGCTTACGTACTTTGTTTTTGACGTATTGAATATGCGGAGCCCACGTCAATTTACTATCGATCACAACCCCTAAATACTTATACTGCTCCACATGCTCAATCACTCCACATGCGCAGCCAATCGCGAGTGCATCGCCACAGCAGTGCAGCTTCAAAGATCTCTCACCTAGTCCAAAGTTATTTCTAAGAAAAATAGGAAGACATTTAGTTTTCCCAACATTGACTGTAAGTGTATTATAATCAAACCAAGATTTTAAATTGTGGAGATCTGTCGATGCAGAACCGTACACCTCGTCCCACGTACTGCCGGTAGTCACAACCGCCGTGTCATCAGCGAACAGTATCACCTTGCTATTTAATTTAACTTTAGATATGTCATTTATGTAAATAGAGAATAATAGAGGTACGAGAGTACTGCCTTGAACCACACCATATTCTACCGGTGTTACATCACTCACAACTCGATTTATGGAAACTACTTGTTCCCGAGACTTAAAATAGTTCGCAAACCATCTTAGAGTTGGCCCTTCGATACCTATACATTCTAATTTACTTATTAGCATGTTTCTGTCAATTGAATCAAAGGCTTTGGTAAGATCCAAAAAAGTTATAAGAATTTTTTTGTTTTTACTGAATGATTCAAAGATAAATTTTGTAAGATCGAATAAAGCGTCTGAAGTATTTCTGTCGTTTCGAAAACCATACTGTGAACTGGAAACTAAATTTTCTTGATTTAAGTAATTTGACAATTGGATTTTCACACATTTCTCAAGTATTTTGGAAAACACCGTTAGAAGGGAAATAGGTCTATAGTTAGATTTATCAGACTTTGGTCCAGATTTATATAGGGGAATGACTTTAGCTATTTTGAAAATATTCGGAAACTCTCCAGTTTTTAAACTACGATTGATAATATAGTAAAGTGGTTCAATAATACAGGTAATAGATTCCTTTACAAATTTTGCTGAAATATTGTCAAGGCCTGGTGCAGAACCTCCTCTAATGCTCCTGACGACCTCAGTGATCTGCTCTCTGGTGACCGGCTGGAATCGGAAGGCAGACTCCATGCTGGGATTGGCCTCCACCAACACTGGAGGAGGGCCATCAGGGTGTAAAGCTGTAGCGAGCTCTACTCCAACCGATGCAAAATAGTTGTTGAAAGAATTAGAAATAGATTTGACATGGTCGGGAGTGACAGCGTCGATTGAATCTGCAAACTCCTGCACAGGGAAAGGTTGTTTTCTAACTGGGCGGCCGGCAGCCTCATTCACAATTCCCCAAAAACGTTTTGCGTCACCATTAACCTGTTCAATTCGGTCCCTGTAATAGTCATACTTAGCGCGCTTTATAAGTGAATGAACGGTATTCCTGTAAGTTATATAACAATGACGTAATCGTAAATTGAATGGTTGTTTTTTAATCTTCCTGAATAATTTGTCACGTTCCCTAATTGAATTAATTAAACCTACTGTTATCCATGGCTTAATTTTCTTAGTCCTACAATTTAATTTGGCTGGGGACGTTGAGCTAGTCATAGCACGTGTGACAATATCTACCATTTTTGTAGCACAGGTGTCAAGGTCCATAGAATCATCATGCACAGATTGCCAATTAACACATGATAATAAATGTTGAACTTTTACCCAATCAGTTTTTTCCTTGACAATTGATGTATGTTCACTAGTTAAGCTAAATTTTGAAAAATTTTGAATAAAAAAAAAATAGTCTGTGATCTGTAATTGAAGAATTTAAAACTGCTGAATGGACATTGAATGACTTTAACAATCGTACAAAAAAGTGGTCTATACATGATTGACTCTCAGGTCGAGTTACCTTATCGATGCAGGATACATATCCTGCGTCATAGAGAACATCTAAATATTGGTCTTCAACTGAATTATGATTTACATTTAATATATTAATGTTTATATCCCCTACTAAAATTCTTGTCATACGATTGCATTGATTACCGTTAATGTAGTTTTTAAGGCCATTTACAAACGATATAAGATTTGAACTTGGGCTGCGGTATACGCAGAGCAGCTCGCACGGGTGACTGGCCCACTGAAACGAGAGCGACAAACAGCTGGCCACGCCTCCCAGACACAGCTGACGGCAAGTCACCGAGAACGCACTGTCCATGTATACAACTAACCCATCGTTTCTGTTCAAGGGATTTTCTGATTTATGTACATCATAACCATCTATGTGTACCAACTGGGAATCGTCATTCAGCCATGCCTCACTCAATACTATACAATGGACTTTTACAGGAATACTATTTAACACTACTAACAATTGGTCAATATTTTTCGAATAACTTCGGATGTTTTGATGCATTACATTGAAATTTAAATAATTATTTGATACGTTGCAAATGTCCTTTATATCATCATAATCGTTAACTAAGTTACAATCAACGGTAAATTCATTAGCATCGTTATCAATATCGTTATCTATATCGTGATCCATACTAACATAGAAACGGTGCTCGGCCTAACTAAGAGATAAGAAACTGAAAGATAAGGTCTGGACGTCCATATTTTCGTACATATGTTAGTGCATCTTGAGCATACTCGTGCATGTGTCTTGGACTCCCAGTATATGTTGCCGGAAGTATAACCCTCTGTCCAATATCAGCAGCTACTCCATCATTGGCGACTGCATCTCGCAAATGAATATAATCTTCGACCCGAAGCTTAGATTGGTTGAAACGAATATAGTTTAAACGTTCACTTTCAACTTTAGCGTACACATCAACAATAAATTGTTGGAAAAGTTGACGGCACATTAGAATGTGGTTAGTCTGTTGATCTCTAATCATGATACGATATGCATAAAAATCTTTGCAACTTACTTTTTTGGTCGTTGCTGCGCCTGTTGTGGGGTTGGTTTGATATAGTTCGAGATTATATCCATCTTCTCCTGGAAACATTATTGGGTACTGAAGGGCGTCATAGGATATATGTGTTTCAGAAACTCGTTGCTTCGTTTCGTCGCACATGCTGATAACAATATCTCGTCTGGTAATTTCCGTTCCAACAATCACAGCTCCTACTTCAGGGGCCATTTGAGCATTGAAACGTCTTGCATGTTCATGTAATGGTGCTTTATCTGCCCTGATAATGACTTTAAAGTCGTCTTCTCTCGCATTTTCCTATGCAGATTTAAAATCTCTGACCAGACTGTTATGTTCATGAAATGATGCTCGTAACTCAGCAATAATTTCCTATTTGTTGCTAAACTAAATGCGCATCGTCGATCAAGCTCTTCCTCTACATTGTCGATGAAATAAATTTGCAAAAACTGAGGATCTTCTTGAGGTAGTGGAAGAAGTGAACCTATTTGATGGTACACTTGCCCTTGTACTTTGAATGTGGGCATACAATTTCCATATCTCACAATACTGGATGCACCAAACGATGTCATTTGGAAACATGAGTTGTATTTACGAATATGTTGGAGGAAGTGTTTGGACTCCCGGGAAACACCAGCAATGTAGGTTTGAAGGGGTTCAGGTGGCTCAGACAATGGTGGCAAATTTACTTTCCCATGCGAGCAACACATACCGATCGACTCTTTTTGAAACTTCAAAGCATGGCAGTATGGGCAAAGTAGTCATTAAACGAATTGCAATGTCGCGATGTATTTTGTAGTCATACGTTTTATCGTATTCGAACGCAGCTCGAATATTTGGTTCTTGTTGAAACCAAATATTAACTAGGTCGTTAATAATGTCGTTCCAAGAATGTTTTGAAGCGTTGGTATAATATGATTTTGGAGTAGAGCAAGATAGGAGTCTCCACCTAAATTCCCATCAATAAAAAACGGCCC